TGTAGTCTATTCTCTGTACTTTCCAAGAGTGAAATAGGAAAGCACCTATAGAAAAATTGGTTTAATAACTCTTAGATAATTCAAGGCTTGTACGTGGTCAAGATACTGAAACTTAGTGTAAATGCTGACTGCATTATCATAACTGTTTCTGATAGTATCATGGAATGGTTTGGGTTGGAAGAGACCTTGAAGATCTAGTTCCAACCCCCCTGCTAGGGGCAGGGACACCTCCCACTAGACCAAGTTGCGCAAGACCCCATCCAACCTGGTCTTGAACACCTCCAGTGATGGAGCATCCACAGCTTCCCTGGGCAACCTGTTCGAGTGTCTCAGCACCCTCATAGTGAAGAACTTCTTCCTAATTCCTAATCTAAATCTACCCTCTTTCACGGTTGGGAACTGTTGCCCCGTGTCCTACCACCACACTCTCTGATAAAGTCCAACCCCATCTTTCCTGTGCATCCCCTTTAAGTACTGGAAGGCTGCTCTAAGGTCTTCCCAGAATGCTGGTGGGTTTGTTTGGTTTGGTTTTCATGCACTTTATTGGCTATTTCTAAGGAGGTGCTGCTGAGACGTTCTCTCAGCCAGCATGTAGGAGGGGGTAAAAACTTGAGGATAGTTGCCTTGGCTCAGCTAATAGGTACCGCCTTTCTATGTTGTTTATTTATTCAGTTACATGTGGGTATACTTAATGCTAATATTTTTCAATTTACCTCTTCAGAGAAAAGGCACCTCAGGGACATGAGGAGCAAGACTGACCATTTTCAGTCTTTTTTTTGTTTGTTTTAATTCCAGTGCCTGTCGTCAGTTGCTACTGCCTTGCAATCTGGCTTTCTTCCATACTGTGAACATGTGTACCAGCGCTGTGTAAATCTGGTGCAGAAGACCCTTGCGCAAGCCATGGTATTTTTCTATTGCTATTCCAGTGTTTTCAGAATATCTCCTTCACCCAGTGTAGTTACTATGTAAAATTACAGGGTTTGCAGGAGGATCTGTAGCATAACTGTTGGATATCTAAATGAAGCTGCAGTTCTAAGACATTTTTTTTATGCATACTGCTCAGAACAACAGCCAATACTCATTTTGAAAATGCATACTTACTTGTTGCAGTTACATAATGCTCAGCCAGACCAGTATGAGGCTCCTGATAAAGATTTCATGATTGTGGCTCTCGATTTACTCAGTGGTTTAGCTGAAGGACTTGGAGGCAACATTGAACAGCTCGTGGCTCGCAGCAATATCCTGACACTAATGTACCAATGCATGCAGGTGAGATGAGTAACCTGTTTGATCCAAGGGTTTTCTTTCTCAAGAGAATCAGAAACACTTCTAGAATTGCCTCTCTTGTTTTTTGTTCCCCCCTTTCTCTCTCTAGGATAAAATGCCTGAGGTACGGCAGAGTTCTTTTGCATTGTTAGGTGATCTGACAAAGGCCTGTTTTCAGCATGTGAAACCTTGCATCGGTATGTTTCTTTAACATATTAAGCAATTAACTTGTTTTGCTAACTGCTAGGAGGCTGTTTTAGCCCTTGTTAAGCTGCCTATTCTGTGGGTTGCCTTTTCATGTTGTAAATTTAAATTTTCTTTCATCACCAAGGTTCTGTAACATTTTCTTCCTCAAATTGTGTTTAGAAGATGTGTTCTTATGTTTGTAGACAGTGCAAAACTTCACTTTTGTCCCTGTTTTTTTATAATGTAACAAGCCATAACCTGTGCTAGAATATAGCAAAACAGATCTACTTAGACTTCAATTAAAATATTTGCTTGCTTTGATAAATTCTTGAATTTAAAGCTTTTTTTTGTTGTTCTAGAAAGCACTGTTAGATAAAATTATATATAAGATACATTGAAATGAGAAAATTTAGCTAGAGGGTAGGGTTTTGTTTATTTTTTCTTAGTTTTTAATTTCAGGTTGGAAGTACCATCAGTTACACAGTACCATGACATTTGCCATTTCTTCTTGAGATACATTTCACCAAATGAATATCTGGATAGACTTGGAATTTCAAATTTATTTGGCAGATATTACAATTCTCTTTGTGATTGATTTTTTTCTTAAAATCTAGTCAAAGAGGTGGTTACCTTCTAGGCTTTGTTGTTCTTTCAAGCATAGCTGAATACAGAGCTATCCAGGTGATCTGAGGTATTATAAAACTACAAGTACTTGTAGCTGTGGTTTCTTAATTCTCCAGTCTTCCTCTCTCTCCCCTGCCTCAGCAACTGGAGAAAAAAGGTTTCTAGAGTTACATGAAGATGAAGCCTATTAGAGACGTTTTAAAATGATAATTGGAAAAGATTTGCATTGATCTACTGAAGTTCTAAAATCCAGGTTAATGCGATATATTGCAGAAATATAGCTCCTGTTAACTTGTGTGTAACACTTTCCAAGGATTTAAATAGGCTTACATATTTGTTTTTTAAAAAACAAACTTCTCTTTTTCCTCTGTGACCTGACAGTAATGGGACAAGATTGTTATATTGTGTAACAAGATTTTAATATGTTGTTCTTTCTAGCTGATTTCATGCCAATCTTGGGAACCAACCTCAACCCTGAATTCATTTCTGTGTGTAACAATGCCACATGGGCAATTGGAGAAATCTCCATCCAGATGGGTAAGATTTACTTTTTTTTCTTTCAATCTCTGCATATTTAACATTGTTTGGGTGGTTGGGGGGGGTAGGTTAGTGGTACTTTCATGTTAAAATTGAAATTAAATTTGAGATTCTTGCCCTTGTTATTAAGTACAATGTACCAACTTTGTTTGGATTGTGTATATTAATGGTCATTTTCTTCTGAATATTTTTTTTTTGGCTGTTTCAGGTATAGAGATGCAGCCTTATATTCCAATGGTGTTGCACCAGCTTGTAGAAATAATTAACAGACCAAACACACCAAAGACGTTGTTAGAGAACACAGGTACCCAAAAACTGAACTGTACAGGGTGAAGGGAATTGCAATTTTTTTAATATAATGATTTTAAAAGTTGCATAGGGAACCACACCAGAACTGGTTTTATTGCTACATGTTTGGCTTTTATAAGCAAAAGCAACTCTGTTTTGCAGAAGCTCTTACAAGTCTCAGTCTTGCAACAAACCATCTATCATATATCTAGATACTTAAAGTTATTGCTCTAATTTTGTAATGTTTACTACATTTATTTATCATCTGTTTAATTAAGTATTCTTCCAGTTTTATTTATGAATTGAATATGACAAATGTATGCAGTAACACTTCCCAGATTTAGTTCACGCCGATTTTAATATATGCATGTCCTCACATATGTGTACTGTATATATATGTCTAGTGTTTGAAACAAGTGTAATTGGCATATACCAAACAAATAACAAACTCTTGAATTTACAAAAAATACACTCTTGTTTTTTCTGAGAGATAAGCTCATAATACGCACAAAAATCTAGATCTGTGATGGCAGTTTCACTACAACATAACTGAAGTGATGTATAACTTCTATTACCTGGTCACTTAATAACAAATTTCTGAGAAGAATTCTAATAATGGCACACACATTTTACTTTCTGGCCTGCAGCTTTGCCTTCCAAATTGGCAACAATTCCTGATGCCGTACTGAACTGGAATTTCTGAGGCTTGTTTCTTTTGCATTTATAGAGGGCATGTTCTGGTATGAAGGGCACCTTCCATACTTCAGCAAAACTGTGGTACTAATTTGACATGTTTCTTTGACATTTTCTGGTTCACCATTTTCATTAATTGAGAAATTTTTTTTTCTTCCTGTTTGTAAACTGTCATGGAAGAAAATGACGGTTTTGTCATTATATCTGACATGATGGAAAAAGATGCAAATTCAGTGGTACAGATGTATTTTTTGAGCTCAGAAAGATAAATGGAGAGATTTTCAATGCATATGTTTCCTCTGGTATTCTCTAAACTTAAAAGCTGTGCTTTGTCTGCCCCCCTCACCCTACTCCCATTTAAGTATGGAAGGTGAACTTGAAAGAAAAACAACCTAGTTGCCTGGCATATTATAGATAAAACTTTTTTAAAAGATAATTTTTGAGCAAATACCTACTTGTTGTGAAATATACCATGGAATAGTGTAGCAATATAAATTTTCTTTCCCGCTGCTCCTGCCCTGCCCCTCTTCCTCTGCACTGATGGATGTGTAATATCTGTAGTGGAGAGGCATCCAGTACTTAAGTGTTTGCTTCCATCTTTGTTAGAGAATTTTTGGAAGCATCCAAACACTTTTTTTTTTTTTTTAAATTCTCTTAATAGTTACTTTAAATGTGGATACGTAACTGCAAATAAATGTTGAGTGTGGTGTACTTATTATAAGTTTGTTGTGGGATATTGTGCTGCATGCCACTAGTACGTACAAGGGTGTTACTGTTTTCTGCTTTAGCTTGCTATGGAATGAGCTGTGAACACACTTTACCTGTGGAAACGTGAGAACACCTTAAGTAAAGGTGATAGCGTAGAAAATAAACAATACAGGCTAAAAAGTTGATCTTTGACAGAGATCACTATTCTTCATACAGACTACAGCTGTGACAATTTACAGATAAAACTTAAAAGTGTGTTTTCATTTGAAAGTAGCACTTCAAATGCAGCTTTATAAGACAGATGTGCTAAAAATTCTAGACACTGCATATTGAAATCGAGTCAGGCCAAAACAGTACATTACCAATGAGCTGCAGCTTTCATGGAATGAGTATGTTTCACACTACTAGTATATCCTGCACCAAACTTTTACTGGAGAAAGCATCATCTGCTTTATTGCATGTTTCATGAAACTGTTCACAAATGCCTGTTAATTAGAGTGTTGCATAGTATGTCCCTTGAACATAGGTTTCCTTTCTCTGCTTCATATGAATCTGCTGGATTTTAGTATTATTCATGTATTTTGCTTCAAGTAATCCTGATACATTATTCCCCCCTCTCCTTTTTCTAAAGATTAATCTTTTGTGAGTTGAGCAAACACCATTAAAACACATCTGCAGGATGATATTTTTTCAGTCTGTCCCTCAGAACGAAGGACCAAACTGCCTAATCATGTGATGAAGCAATTTTGCTTTTCATGTCCTTATGCCTTGGTAGCAGAAGTCAGATTATTATACGATTTCTGCAAGGAGGCCTTTTGTAAACAGAGGAAATACTGGGATTAAAGAATTAATTTTCTGCAGTCAGTTGCTGCGAGTTAGCAACCACTCTTCCAGTTAAGTTCTTTACAAGATTATGAAGAAGACAAATACTTCATGCTCACTGAGAAATTTCATCTAGTCAGTGTTTTTAGATAATGAAAGTATTTTTAAATGTATTTTTACTAATAGAATCAATCTGTTAAAATCTTGAATTCTAAACTTTTTAAATATTTGCAATACTTGATACTAAAACTGAGTATGGTTAATTCCCATTTAACAGGAGTATGCAGCACAGTACATTTTAATAAAAACTTCAAAATGTATAGCAAGTAAATTTGCTGTAAGAGATTACTCTGAAGAGGGCAGAATCGCTGCTTATATGAGAAACCTTTGGATTTTAAATTGTGTTTTTGGTGTTCTCTCATTTACTTCTTTTTCTTTTACCCTGGAGAGTATACCATATATGTTGCTGCCTCTTATTTAGGGGGTGGTAATAAACAGCACTGGTGAAATCTTATGTTTATTATCATACACAGATTCTGTTGGTTTCTGTTTCTGAGTTATTTGTTGTTTTTTCTTTATTTTTTCTCCTCCCCCCTCATTTGCTCATGTCTTGGTTGGCGTTTGGTGGTGTATAACCGTGATTGCGTTACCTTAGCAATAACAATTGGTCGTCTTGGTTACGTTTGTCCTCAAGAGGTGGCCCCCATGCTACAGCAGTTTATAAGACCCTGGTGTGTATTATTCAATCTTTTTTTTTTAATTCATTTTTCTTCACTCTCTTTCTTTCTTTCTTTCTTCTCTCTATCTCACTTTTAGATATATTTTCAGTTGGTTACAAAATCTCAATCCTTAATCATTGCCAACCATGTGACTAATCTTGTCCTATCAGGTTTGTGAGTTTTTAGTAGCACCGTCATGTATTCTTTATGTTGTGGCTAACGACTAATTTATGCATGGGATAAGATTGTCACATGCTTGCTGTGTTAAAGCTTGACTACAAAAGAGCATTTTAAAATCCACCAGAATGATAATACAATGCATGCAAGTACTGTAAAATTTAAATTGTGCATTATTTTACCTAAAATTCAGTCTGAGGCTTGAATTGCTGTAAGGAATATATGTTTATAGATTTGTTATGTATAAAATAGCTTGCTTGCTGCTGTAAAAGTTAAATAACTGTTCCGTAAGTGGTATCTGACATAATTCATACCGTGGTAGTATTACATGTTACGCTTCTAATAATGATAGTTTCTACACATATTTCAGATACATGTTTCATTTGTATTTAATGGAATACAGGTCACACTTTCTAACTGCCTATAATGCAACAGGAGAACAGGATTCTGGAGATGATGCCTAATGGGAATATGCTAGTAAAGACTGTGTGCAGCAAGTGTTTTTCTAAGTGCTTAAAATAGTGTTTCTTATCATCTTCTCAGTGTGACTTATTCCATCAAATACTATCATCTAGTTCTGACTTGTTTGAAGAAAAAGTAAGGGAGTTAGCTAAGTTTTGCTCTCCGACTTGCTAGGTGCACCTCTCTGCGAAACATAAGAGACAATGAGGAAAAGGATTCAGCGTTCCGTGGGATATGTACCATGATCTCGGTCAACCCCAGTGGAGTAGTCCAAGTAAGATACATGGATAGATCTTAACTTCTCTCCTTTGCTCATGTGAAATTTAGTGAAAGCTGAAGTATGAGTAGGAAGAAGTTTAGCTTGCCATGATTCCCTGTAGTACATGGTGTAGCTCTGTTTTGAGGTCAAGGAGGACAAACTGTTTATATTAGGAATGGTACATATCGTGATGCTTCAGTAATTATGACCTAGCAAAGGAAAGGAGAAGAGTATTGTTAAGTTCTGTTTTGGTCTTTTACATGCAAAGAACATATAAGTACTTCATATAAAATAACTGTGTTTTGGTACTACATCAGGTTATGGTCAGGATCCGTATGAAAATACAAGGCAAAAGTTGACATGATGTAGGCCTATTTTCCAGATGTAACCTAGACTTTTAAAACAAGAAACAGGACAAAAACAGTAACCACCCCTTCATTCTTAACACTGGGGTAGGGAAGATTCTGTTTCTGCTTTGGATATGTGGTTTAGGCAGTCCACATGGCAAGACACATGAATCTTTTTAAAACAAAGGACACATCTGAGGAATAGAATATTAATTGCTCTTTATTCTCCCCACCTCTAAAGTAAAGTTGTGCCAATGTAATATTTTCTAAGAGAAAAACGAATGTGATTCCCTCTGCTCTGCCTGGAGTTATTCTTCATCAAACACAAGAATTGAGCCCACCATGTTTTGAAATTTTTAGGTCATTTCACTTATTCTCTAATTAGTCTGCTGTCCATTTCTTCTTTCACATAGCTTAAGGGGAGGGGATAATTAGGAAGTCTTCATTATCCCATCTCTCCTTCTCTGTACTTGTTATCCTCAGTTCCACCCCAATATGCTTTATCAACTTAATGGTTAAAGACTGGTGTTTTGGTGGTGTAGTAGGAGGTATGCATGACAGCATATGAACTAATTGTAGGGATTTTGGAGTGGCTTTAGTTTTGAACCTGTAAGTTAAAACACTCTGTGAGTCCTTGAAAAAACAATGGCTCTGCTTAAAGAAATAAACAGCTTTTTCCCCAACTGGAAATGCATGAGAGAGAGAGTGTTGCAACTGTGGTGTTGAGTTTGTTTCTTGTTATTAGGGTGATTGGTTCTTGAACTTGATGTGTGTACTGAAAGAATTAATATTAGACAAGTGTGGCATGGGAGGGGAGAGTTGTGGGGTTTTTTTAGCTGTGGTTTTATCAAATCAAAAACCTAACTAAACAAAGCTATTCCTACACTCAGCTATTTCTGAACACTTAGGCATACAATAACTTACCATTATTGTCTGAATTAACTGGAAAATAAATGCATAAAACCAAGAGCAGTTGTGAATTACGATTAAAGACCCTGCATAGTTCATAGAATGAATATGAAGCATTGACTTCAGACCTATAAACTGAGGTTTCTAACCTTTCTGATTGTTTAATCTTATAGGACTTTATTTTTTTTTGTGATGCTGTTGCATCATGGATTAGCCCAAAAGATGATCTCCGAGACATGTTCTGTAAGGTAAGGTTTCTGATATAACAGTATATCCTAATGGTTGTTGGTTTTGATCCTCTATTTTTGTCTTGCTTCCTGTTTCCACTGTTAGCGCTTGCTGTATTTGTGGTCATAGAGGCTTCTTTGCAAGGTCATAAATTTTCAGACAAAACATAAACATCGTGGCTCTTTAACCTATAGTTTCTTCTATGCCTTTGGTTTATTCTGAACTTTTTTAACCAGTATTGAAAAATTCACTTTAGAATGTGTGTGAATGTGTCTTCCCCTCGTAAGCTGTAATGTAAAAACTGTTTCTAGGAGGGTGTGTGTCAAAAAGTCATCATATCAGCATATTACTAAGCACCTATTAGGGTTATGTGCCAGTATTGCCACTTTTTCTTCAAGTAATGCCACAGAAACATTCTGTTATTCTGTATGAGCATCAGAACAGAAGCTAGTACTTCTGTATCCCCTCGTTAAGAACAAAGACAGAAATCTCGCTGGCCTATTGAGCCTCTCAGATAACTGGTCTCCTTCAAAGGAACATCAGGTCCAGGAAATGGACAGCTGTGAGTATTCTAGCATCAGCAGAAGGAAAAAGGAAGTGCTTACAAGCTTAAAAGGTCCAGGATGCTGTCTGTGATGACTGTCCAAAGCAGTCTCAGTGAGTGTTTCCGCACTGATCCTTCAGCATTGAATATTTGCTTCAGTAAGTGGCACTCCTTTTCTTCAGGTTCCTTCTGAGTTACCCATGGAGGTTCTAATGCATTCAAAAAAGACACAGTGGTTCTTGGTCACCTGGGATAAGGGCATCCTTGCTTTTCAAGGTGTATTCTTTTGTCATTTTTGCCATGCAAGAAAGGAAACAAAGCTCTCTTCAAGTGATGGCACACATGATTTTTAGGTTGCTTCCTTACAAATACATGATTGCTGTAGTCCAGTTAGATGTTTTTCCAACGATAATTATGCATTTCAGGAGCAATGGAAAACTGGATTGTCCAGTGTTTCTTCTTTTGTGTTCTTTTGGTTTTTAGCTCTAGAGTTGTGAGAGAAAACACCACTTTATGAGAGCGTGGGCAGATGAACTGCCAGTATTGAAATCTAACATGCACCCTAAGAATTTTATGACTTGCTATAAAAGTAAGGTATTTGAAGGCTGTAGCTGAAGTTCACTTTCAATAACTACTGGAAGTTTATTTTAAAAGTATGCTGTTGTCTTACCTGAACATTCCTAGGTTTTCCGTAGTTTCTTGGCAGCAAACTAATCTGACTCTTTGAGTTAGGAAAGAAGTGAATCTGCTTGTGGAAGGTGTCTTTCAGGGAGAAAAGAAGCAAGCTGACTGGTAACACTGTAATGTCATTTTTGCTACATATTGTTTAAGAACAGGTCTGCTTGAAGCTGTTGTGTTGAGGGTGACTTGGTACTAGAAGCTTTAACTTTGATATTGCCTCTTCTGTGAGGATGTAGTCATGACACCGTTCAACAATTAAGTGTCATTGAGTTTAAAAAAAAGACAACTGGAGACTCTTGGCATAATTTTCTATGAGGAGGAGCCAATTAATCAGCTTTTGTTCTTTCTAATGTTTGCCTTTAAACCTGCTGTTTTCAAAGCTAACATGCTAAGACTTTTTTGATTGTATCATTTAATTTTTCTAGTTTTCAGCTAAGTTGCTACATTGGAAGGATCAGAGTGAAACCTGTAGGTTTCACCACCACCACCACCTCTTTCACTAGCTTTTGACTGCCACTGACTGTGGATCCATGTTCTTTCAAACCACAAAAGATTTTAATAGCTTCCTTTTTAGTGACAGTTCTCTTACAGGTTCCATGGAGAAAACAGAGCTCTCACAGGATGCTTTTGTATTTGTGCTACAAATTGATGGGTATTCCGTCTGTCAGATGCTCTCCACAGTTTTGGCTTAGCTTTCTTCCCACAACATATTACACAGTTAAAAAAGAATTGTGAATACAGAAATCTTAACATAAATAAACTGTGTCAAGTGATAAAATGTTTAGTGTTCTCAAAATGGTCTATGTCAGGCTGTAAGTCACTTTATTCATTAAAAATAAATACAGATACGTACATACACACTGACTTGTGTGGGTAGCTATTTTCTGTATGTCATCCTCAAAAGAAAAAAAATACTTCCATTAAGAAAGATATTCCTGTTTCTTAGTGGCATTTCACTATTACATCAGAGAATTCAAATGGACAGATGTTGGACTTGATGATCCTTTCCAACCAAAATGGTTCTATGATTCTATGTAGAATCCATCAGTTTACATCTTACTGCATAGGTTGCTAGTAAATACGTATTCTCTGTTTATCTTGGCTTCCCCCCTCTCACTTGTAGATTCTTCATGGATTTAAAAATCAAGTTGGGGATGAGAATTGGAGACGTTTCTCTGACCAGTTTCCTCTTCCCTTAAAAGAGCGCCTTGCAGCTTACTATGGAGTTTAACCTCATGCACAGTAGCTGCAGTCCCATAATTAGAGGTAAGCACACAGAACGTCTGTCCTTAAACAGAGCTATGTAACAGACTTCCTCCCTGTTTGCATTATATGGAACATAAATAATCAGACTAGAATTTTTCAGATATACTGCATATCTTTCCTTCCTGTGAGAAGGGGAAGAAAGGGGTGGTGGTACAGCTAAATAATGGTAGCTGTAGCAAAAGCAGTTGTCTGTTACTTTGTTTTTACAGAGAGAGAGAATGTATAAGTGAGTGTATTAGGTGCACTGTAGTGTATCAGGATTAGGTTGGAAGTATAGATATAACAAAGTGACAGTTCGAGTTCAATAAAGTGTGAATATGATCCTCAAGCCACCACAGATGATTTTTGCACTGAATAAAGGATGTTTTGCTAATCTTTAACTCTTAACTGTAGAGCTTGATGTGGTGGGTAGGCTCATGTGTTTGTTATTGCCATGTTCCGTTTTATGCGCCAGTGCCGAATTGTTAAAAGTTCTGTGCAGAGAATGATTCAATTTCAGCAAAGAACAGTGGTAGTACATTCTAGAATGGTTTTAGTACAATATCACCTTGCTTTGTGTGCTATCTGTGCACACTGCAGAAAGCAAAATTTTCTATGTGTGAGGTAGTATAGTGCTGTGAAGAGATTATTATACTACCCAAAAAAAGAGGGTGAATTAAGCTTATTCATTCAGTCTTTATATAAATTTGATACTTGCTGTAGAATTATTGTACTGAAATTATGGGAGTGAATCATGCAATTCTGTTTTATTGTTTAATGGACAACTTCTGAAAAGTCAGCATAAGATTTTTTCAAAGTCAGCGACTTTTGAATTACGTGCTTGATCTGAACAATATTTAAAAATAAACCGATTTTGAGTGTATGCATATTTATCAGTGAGGCCATTTGAGTTCTCGCATATAAGGGTGTTTTCTCCTGCTAATGAAGAAGTCTAAATCTAAAGTGATAAAATTCTCCGTTACTCTTGGCGTGGACTGTGGAGACACTATGGCTCTTTTGTGTAATCCACCTAAAAATGAAGCCGTTAGGTCAGTAGCAGACATGTTTAATATTCTTTCTCAATGTCATAACAGTCCAGTAACTTTGCTGAATATGGAAAAACTTGTTAGAATATATAGGGCTGCTTTTATCTTAAATCTAAGCCTAGCCACAATAGTGGAACTATCAAGGAAACTTTTAAGCTTACATTGTTGTTTCATTAATAATGATTTACCTGATATAAATAGGCTCTCTTCTTGACAGACTTAAAAGAGAAAATCTAGGCATAAATTTGCTTTTAAGTTCAAGGTTGGCACACACTGCTTCCAGAAGGTCAGAAAAGCTCTTTATTTATGCACAGATCTGTCAGTTAAGGTTCAAGGTAAGATTAATTAAATCTTTATCTTTTCCTTTAACAGGTCCTTCAGTCTGGGAGACTATGAGGGAGCCTCTGCACCCAGGGAAAATGTTACCCTTTACTGGGGGGAAGGGTAAACCAGTAGGGAATACAGTACAATCCCAACCCTACTGGGAGGGGCGGGAGGGAGGTGTTGCCGTCACTGTATTAAGTCGATGTTGGGAAATGTTTTAACATCTGGAGCCTTTGTGGGTGGATATCTGTCTCCTATTACAACTCTGCACTGGATGTGAAGAAGAAACAAAAAAAAAAAGAATCTAGTCACAAAACAGCACATTCTGGAATATTGTGGGGAATTGTACCAAAATAAGAACCATGTAATTGAACCATAGGGATACGTAAAGAGGAAAACTATTTTGCGCACAATAAAGGAAACCTAAGAATAGGGGTCACAAACAGTAAAAGGCTTTCTTCTTGCTTTTATGGTTTTTTTTAAATAAGGGTTTTTCTATGTTATTTTATCCTGCTTGGTGGGATTCCTAGGTATTTGCATGTTAATGAAGAACTACACAAATGAAGTTAGTACAGTTAAAATGCAGCTTGTGTCTGCATTAGGAGCAGGCACTTGCAGTGTGCAATATAGAAACCCCATCATAAATTAATAAAGGTTAACTTGGACAAAATGAAGCAACCTGCAAGCTGCCAAATGAGTCACTCCTTTCATTTTTGGGGCAAGGGGAGGGACACTTTAAAGGAAAGATTGACATCTTAATTTTTACATTAAAAAAGAATTAAAGTAGTGGATATGATTTGATTATTGTACTTCATTAGATTTAATTTCTAGAGTAAGGCATTATTCTTAATGTGCAGTTAAGGTTCAGGCATGCGTTCTGGCTCATAGTGATCAGAAGTAATTTAAATTAGTGGGAAAGTAGCATGCTTGCATCACATAGAGTGAAATTGGTATACATTTACCTATGTTGCGCCAGTTTTGTGTTGCAGTTTACCAATTCAATATAGCCCTGCATTTTAAATTCCTTTTTAAGATTCTGTGGATTTTATTTTTATTAAGAATATAGATATAAAGTACTGTAGTTAACAATTAGCCCTTGAAATACCTTTTTAGAATCTGTTAAGAATAAGATTGATATTGTATTGTGTGTAACCTGCACAATGTGGAAAGCTGATATAGCTGTGCAAAATACTTGCCTCTGTGCTGTCAGTGTGATGTGCTTTCTGCATGGTTATATACTAGTGATTTTATCAGAATCTCTAAAAATGAATTACGTGGTAAGACCTGTTAAAGGCTGCATAAGTGTTAGTTGGCACGTAAAGACAATTGTAGAAGTTGATGACATGATAGCTATATTTGTGTTTATTCCCACTCAACATATTACCTTCTATGCTTTCTTTTCGTTCAAAGCATGATCTTAAGGAGATGTTTAAGTTAATGGATGTAATGCAGGGTATCTACACTGTATTGGCGCATGTTGGTGGCCCTTTGTGATGTAGTTAAATGCACAAGGGTGCAAGTTTAAAGCTACAGAGTGAAAGTTGGTTTGGATCCTCTTCATTTCATTTGTTTAGCTTTTCTGTTGTGTTTTTTTTTTTTTTTTCTCTACTTACATGTATTCCTGTGAATAAATCCTTGTTAAGTTAACCCTTTACTTTTCCTTCCATGTGTATTTTCTTATGTACTGTGAATGTGAAATCTTAACTGGTACACTTGATCTTGTGTCCATCTGAAAGTGGCAAGTCTTTAATAATTTAGACTGCCTAAAGAGTATCCCATGATGATAAAGGAAAATGGAGAGATTTTTAACTCTGCTGGTCAGAGGTGAAGCCACACCTTTCCATTTTTCAAGTGCTGCATAATTAATCTGCAAAACAAAATTAAGCCATAACAGCCTTTTTGTAGATTTAGTTTCTCACCTTTGCATTGCAGATTGGATACTGGATAACAGTTTGGGGGTTTTTTCCTTTGGTTGTTTTTTGTTGTTTTATTTTATTTTATTTTTTTTGTTAAGAACTTGCTCTTCTTTGCATGGTTCTGTTCTTGACTGTTGAATGATTTAGCCATTGCACTGAAGTTTGAGCTGTGTGAGTGTGAACTTAGAAATGCTGTTTAAAGAGTTCTGATGGGTTGGTTGGTTTTTTTTAATGCATGATAGCATGCGTGTTTTACATGCCCCCACCTCCTTTTTTTGGCTTTGCAAATTTTAATGGATTATGCCTGAAGAATAGTTTGGACGTGTACTGTATGAAGTACATTCAGTAATGCAAGTACCTAGCATTTCTTCAATTTGGTCAAAATTGCATGTGATGACTTGCTTCCAAATTACAAATACAAAATTCCTTCTTAACTAATAACTCAGAAGTAAATTTGCAATAGTCACTAAAAACACTTTACAACCAAATTCTAAAAGGAAAGAAAACCCAAACCCTTAAAATTTATCAAGGTGTGATATTATTTTAGAACCAAATTTGCTTTAATTTTGAGTGTGTTCGAACATTAGGGAAGTGTTCCAGAGGAGTGACATTTTAAAATTTATAGAACAGAAAACCTATCCAAATAATACTGTAGCATAACAGCTAGAATATGAGTTTAACTAAACCTCTTAAATTTCAGAAAGCCCCTTTAACCAAATAAAACCGCTCCACCTCACCTCGGATTATCTTGGATGCCACTTTTGTACGTGCTTATTTTAATAGGTATTTGTACAGATGTGAACTGGTCTGATACAACAGCAAGGAAAATAAATGAAATAAGGCAGAAATAGTATGGGCAAAATAGCGTTCTGTACAAGTAAGTTCTTTCACAATATATTTTAAAGCAAATAAATCATATTCCTAATGCATAATATAGCACAGAGATTTGCAGAAGCCATTTAGGGTATAATGTGAGGTAAGAACAGTTCTGAATCAGCATTAACATTTATAATTCAATTATTGCATCATGGGATATATAAAAAGCATCTTCATTCTTGTGGTGTAGTCTTGACAGTTCTTGAATGTTGACTGAATGTTTATACTGGTAGAATTGTGAGTTTGTCTTTGTTACATTCCAGTGTTTCTGCCTCTTGGCATGCTAAAAGCACGGCTTACTTTATTTGCTCCTTACACACTGAATAAAGTGCTGTTAGTGTGCTAAACTACAGAAATAGCCGCTGCTAAGTAACGGTGTAGATTTTCTACTTGAATATTTTTGTTGTAGGAACCTCAGGAGGTCAGTGTTTACTGTTTTTATATATGCCTTTTTCCTGTTTTGAGTTTCCCTTCTTGAAGGATTCTGAGAGTGAACAAAAGCTGCTGATCAACCTAAGTTGGTAACAGAAAGTGTACCTAAAATCCATATAAATGCATCTTTTAGGCATTTCTAAATTGCTGTTAAATTAGTCTTAAGTGAAGTTCAATACTAAATTTTTTTCATTACATATTCAGGAAACAGCTTGTTTCATTTCAGGAAAAAGATTAGAATAGTTTATTATTTTAACCAGTGCAAGCAAAAATAATCAATTTTGTAAATTTTTTCCAAAGCTTGATTATTTTCTAAATCAGTGGATATGTATATATTTAAATTGTAATAAGCTAATTCTTATGCTTTAGTTAATTGCTCCTTAAAGCTTGTACTCAAAAGATCACTTTTAGAAGAATGAGTTTAAAGTTTATAATCATTATAATTTTTAAAAGTTATCAAGTAGCATAAATTTTGTAACTAACAATATTGATACACACTGTGATTTATTTTTTGTTGGGACTTTTATGTTAGCATCAATCTTAATTACTTAAACTGCATATATTGTATAATAGTAAAATGTATATTTTAAAACTTCAAGTGGCTTTCCTCAAGCGAAGCTCATTGTTAGGCATATTCAAATTCTAGCTTTATCTCAGGTGACTACTCTTGTACCCTTTCTGTTCAGAACACGTGCTAATAAAAATGTGTCTTAGTTATTTTATGTATTTCATTTAGGCAGCTCCTCTGTCTTAAACTTACTCTAAATTAACCTTCTTCTGTGGGACAATAACGACTTCTGCTTCACCTATTTTATTCATATTGAATGTATTAACAGATAAGGTGCAAAAACATTCTTCCCTTGAGGAGAATACATCCATATACAAATAACTGAAATATTTTCTTGAAAAATGCTTTAAATGCAACATTATATAGGAAATAATTTGTTTCAGATTTGGTCGAGGAAAGAAATTGCAACTTAACACTAATCGTTTCAATGCTATCTCTTTCATGGGGATGATAGATGCATAAAGCTCTGTGTAGGGTCTAAAGAGTAACTTTTTTATCTTAGATAAAGGTTAAGCTCTACAGTGAAATGGCAAAACATCCTGCAGTTATCTCAGATAGGCACTGATGCAGTTTGCATACGTATTTGTTATATAGAAGTATTTCCAGTAACCTCATCTTGAATAAATAAAATTTGATCAGTAGCTGTGTGTTTCACTCACACCTATGAACTCTCCAGAATGACTTGCATCCATCAGTCTTCTAGGTGGTATTCTCACCAAAGTAGAAACTGCTTTTAGTCTGCCACTGATGCTTGTTCTTTGCACTTAACGGTTGGAGCAAGCCGGTTTTAGATTCTTATTTTAAATGGGGAACTAAGGTGAGCACTCCTCTTGCTTGCCTTGTAGAGTATATTCTGCTAAAATAATAAGGATACTTACCCACCTGAATGTACTTACATGAGGGAAGTTTAACATGGCTCTGTAAGATGAATCCCTGTGTGGTGTTACGGTGTCATTTAAGCCAAATTTGCCGAAGAATTCAGCACTTACAGTATAGTATTTTTCTCTGTAAGCTGATTCTGTTGCGGTACTTTCGCCTTAGGCATCTATTTCCTTACTCCGGGTGAGCAACAAAATTGAGAAGGCCCTGGGTGTTTTTTGCAAGGACAGTAATTAGCAAAAAAGATTGGTACAAGCAGGTTCATTTGGCTTTTGAACTCTCCAGTGTATTGTTATCTTTTTTCCATGGGAGGAGATACAGGTAGTTATGTTTGTACATTGTCTGACTTACTAACACTAGACACTTCTAAATTTTTTAATTGGATGCTGTATACAAAAATATTTTAAAGTTAAAGGGAACTGGATCTTTCTGCTGACAACTTAGGTTGTATGAGTTTTGCTTGAAAGCTTTAAATCTGATGTTTCTGTATCTGCCACAATGTTGGAATGTTTCCTTCAAACATATCCTCCTGCAACCTCTCAAACTGTACTAAATTGAGTGATATTTCTTGAAGTCTGCCTATGTGCTAACAGAACTTCATTTTAAATAGAATATGGTTTTAATTTTTGATAAGCTGCTGAATTTTAAAGAGTTTTTGGGGCCACCAAATATTTTGGATCATGCAGAGAATATATATTGTACTGTAGTAATTTTGTATTTACATTTGTATGATGTGACATAATAGATGTGAATGTTAATCACTGCTTGACTATGTTAATAAAGTTGTTTAAATATAGATGTTGCATTCCAATTTTTAATGAAAGACTAAAATTTCATGTTCCATTTATGTATTGCCTGATGAACTAGTGCACTTTTCTGGTTCACATCTGTAAGTTCTGGAGTCTATTCAATACAGATTTCCATTTTGTCAGAAAGAAAATTATCTTTGGATAAGTTAAGGTCATTTCAGTTTGGATGCTCCATGCTGCTTGAGGGCAGATCAATACAAAAGCAGGAGGTTCACATGAACTGAGATTAATGCCAGTTGGGGGATAGCTGTAACTGCTTTACTACTGAAAAATGGTACATTGACTGTATTTTTGTGTGAAACAGATGATGCTTGAAAAGTCTGACTAAATGGGAAAGAGGGGATAAAATCATTCTCATTGCTTGTGCTGTCAGTTATGTAAATAAAAATCGAGTAAACTAGAAATAAATTAAAATTATTCAAGACCTTGAACCGAAACTTGCAGTGGTCTTAATCTAATTTTATCTAGCTTTTATGCGACTGATAATACAAACTATTTAAATATCTATCCTTCCATTTATATACTTCCTGATACAGGGGAATTATGAAACTAACAATAGTAGCTTTCTGGACAAAACCCACCCATGCTGATTTGAACATTCTATGTTCACTTCCAATATTTAACAGTTGGTCAATAGCATGTAGACGATTTACATGGTTACATGTGTCTATCACAAATAGCTTCTGTGGTGTAACGGTTAAATTCAATAAAATGCTTTTTTATGATATAGCTACTTAAAATTTGTAGTAGAAATTAATTGCTGAACACTCAGTAGAAGTCTGCTTAATGAAGGACTTTGATTTCTGCCTCCAGAAAGAGAAGACCATGGAGTGGCCGGTATCAGCAGTGTAGGTGTGTAGAAACCGCTCTGCTAATGAGCAGAGAGATGAGTTCCTGTTTGCTGAGCACACCGGTGGCTGTGTGGAAGGGGGCGGGGGGAAGTTCTGTTTTCTTTGAAATAGCTCTCTCCACTCCCCTTATCTTGTGGAGTACCTGTGATAGAACACCCTGGTGTCACTCAGATGTGTTGTTGCAGTCTCCTACTACTAGCTTAGAGCCTGATCTGAAGCTGCGGCCTATGATTTTGAGTCTGAGTTTAATTACTGCCTGTATGTACCAAGAAGAGGTGATTAAGTACTAGCAGTGTGATTAAGTGAAATGAATGTTATGACTA